TTTTTCTTTCTGTACCAGGAATTGAACTCAGGACCCTGCTCTTCCCTGGTAGGTGCTTATTAACTTTCTATAATTTTAATTTTCATCCCCCCCCCATGCGAGGGATGGAACACAGAGCTTTCACACTGATCTAGAGCACCAGCCCTTTTTTCATTTTTAAATTCTGAGAAGACAGTTTCCCTGAGGAAAACATGGCTCAGCCTGGACTCTAATTTATACTCCCCTGCCTCGGCCTCTCAGAGCACTCAGATGCCCTGTGCTTGCCACATGACAGGCTAATTTCCTAAATTTAATAAACAAAAGCTCAGTGTGTCCCCAGCACGATAAATAAGAAACAACTCTGGATGCCTTCTGAGGGCGGCGGTCACCTCCTGCTCTGCCCACTGCCCATCTGGGTCCACCACCCCTGCTGGACCTGCATATCTCTTCCATCCTTAGGATGGTAGGAAAGAAGGCTGAGAGACCCCAAGGACCCCTCTCCTCCCTGCAGCCTCAGTCCCCTCAGGCACTGGGGAAGCCATGTAGCTCATCTCTCACTAGACACAGAGCTGCAGGCTGTCCTGTGGGGCCTGGCTGTGGGGGTCTGAGGGTTTCAGGCCTCCTCCCCGCATTCTCCAGCCTGGTAGCCCCAAGTCGCAACACTCACCATATGCAGCTGCAACTGCTGAGAGGACAAAGCAGGACAGAAGCCAAAGGAGGGCCATGGTGCTGCTGTCAGGGAAGGGGATGCCTGCTTGTTTGGGGTTCCTTTTATGTCCCCTAGGGTCCCTTATGCCATGCCCATCAGGCAGGGCCAAGGCCACCTCACTCTTATCCAAGGACCTTGGGTGATTACTGGGGCCAAGCCCCTCTGCTTGCCAGCCCCTGGGAAAGGTACAGATGCCCTGTCACACCACCTGCAGCCTGGCGATGCCAAGGACTGTGCTGTTCCAGGCCAGGAGCCCGGGCCCCGCACAACAGACTCACATGGCTCTTGCTCACTCGCTGTGTCCCAGTGAGTCAGGGGGCCTCCAAGTCCTGACTGAAAGGTAGCGCAGCCAAGGGTTCCAAGGGGCCTGACTGGTGGTGGCTGCTATCCCCACGTTCTGCAGTTGTGGCCCAGGACCACGGAATGTGGGCAGAAGGGGCTCAGCAAAAGGTAATTCAATCAATAATCATGAAAAGCAAAGCCTTACTCAGGAGTTCAGTGTCACACAGGGGGTCACCTTGGCGCCGCGCAACGCACAGTTTGAATATGGGAAGCAGAAAATGCACAAAAAATTTGGGTTTACTAGAGGCAAAGCAACCAAGCAGCCCGCAGAGGACTCGGGGGGAACCAAGCTTTACTACATCGGTGGGCGCAGAGAGGCTGAGTGCTCCAGAGTCTACGCCCTGAACGACTACAGGAGTCACTTTGATACTCTTCGTCTGATGGGCTGAGGTCTTTGTGAGTAAATGGAACTTTACCAATATGGAAACAAACTGGAGACAGAAATAGGCCAGGTAGAGCTTGTGCCTCGGGAGTAGCTTGCAAGCCCGTTCACAGAAGTGGAGGGAACACTGCGGACTATTGACACACATGGGTTTTGACACATTTTGACCACAAAAGATCCTCTACAGGAGGAGTTACCTGGAGCACAAGACGGCAGAGCCAGCGCCAGGCTGCCAGTGCCTGTGCCGCGCTTGGCACGACTCTCTTCTGTGATCTTCAAAGTCGAAGGAAGCCGTCTGTGTGAAGTATTAGTTTCTTATACAATGGGGCCTCGGTGCCACACCATGAAATGACACACGGAACAAACTTTCCCTTGTCATAGGACAACATAACAGCTGTGCCCACACAGGGGCATGAAGAGAGGCCACGTGCATTCTCGGGACCCAGCACTGTTCCCACCACTAGTGACAGATGAGGCCACCAATCCAATGAGAACAGAGTACAGCGATTACAGGGCCCAGTGAAGCACTGAGGTGCACAGGCCCCCCTGTGTCCACTGAGCGACAAAAACACACAGTCAGTGAGCTGAGGCCTCCTCTAAGGCTCTGTGCCACCAGGGTCACACCATCCAGCAGAACCTGGTCCAGGGAGCAGAACAGTGGCCCTGGGCTTGTTGGGCAAAGCTGTGGTCTTGAACTTGGTGCACTTTGAAGTTTCCTTTCTCCTTGTCTCACAGGGTCAGCT